ACACACTTGTTGAATGAGTGTGAACTAGAGGACCTGACTGCATCACTGGGCAGGAAGATGGGGAGGTCAGAGCATGGAGTTAGAAGTGATTTTTGAATGAGTCACTAAAGGTGTTTCTGGTGGGCGCCTCTCCCGAGGGCCATGCTCCTGTGGCAGCAGAAACAGCACTGGGCAAATAGTGTGGCTAACTGAAAGCCTCTGGTTTGAGGGTATGAAGGATGAACATCCCCTCTGGGCTCAGCAGGAGGCCTGCCAGCCTCCTCCTTACCTCCCCTACCTCCCCCCCACCTTTTTTTTTTTAACTCATGCACAGCCTCCATCTCAAGAAATACTGGAGATATAAAGAAGCTTTGGTTAACGCAGGGCACAACAGCATTAGGAAGTTCAGGGTGATCGCGTGCCTGAGTTTAGCCTTCACTAGTTTGATCCGGGACTTCTTAAAGAGCTAAAAAATGCATAAGATTTTGAAAGAATGCTGCTGAACTTCCTTCCAGGTTGTTTCCACGTGAAAAATCTCTGCAGGTGGGTTAGAACCATAATTGGAAAAGCTTGGCCATATGGGAAGGAAGTTAACATTTGTCTAGTGCCCATCACATGCCAGAATGCAGACACTAGACACTTGGAGTGGCTTATTTAATCCTTGTGCCTGGGCTGTGAGGGAGGGGCCATCCCCCTTCTGTAGATAGCAACAGAGGCTCACGGGTAATAGGTGACTTGCCTGGCTCACCCAGCCAGGCTCTCACAGGCTGGCCGACTCCACTCGCTGTTCACAGATGGGATTCAGAAGACATTCACGGTGTAAGAGAACTGAATCCTTTAAATTAAGCTGTTTTTTTCTGGGCTTTCTTGGTGATGGATACTTTTGATGGGTGTGCTAAGTTAGACCTGACACAGGGCAGCCAGAGGACCAGGATCAGGTGAGGACTCCAGAGCCTATAAGGAAGGCGAATTTCATCTCACCAGCTTTTTCTTTTTTTTTTTTTTTTTTTGAAGATTTCGTCATACGAGATGTCGAGCAGTGACCGTTCAAAAGTTGTTTCTTCATCCCATTTGTACTGA